AAGGCATGGAAAGACAACTTACAGTTGGTTTTACTCCACAACAAAATGGGGTATTCGAAAGGAAGAATCAAACAGTGATGGAGATGACAAAATCAATGATTCATGCAAAAGGGCTATCAAAATCTTTTTTGGCTGAAGTTGTATATGATGCAGTATATTTGAATAATAGGTGTCCTACCAAGGCCGTTTGGAATAAAATTCTATTTGAAGCATAGAGTGGGAGGAAGCCATCGGTGAGGCATCTCAAGGTGTTTGGATGTGTTTGCTATGCTCAAATTCCAAAGGAGAAAAGACGCAAGCTTGATGAAGCAAGTGAGAAATGCATTTTTGTTAGCTATAGTTCAAAGTGCAAAGGTTATCGGTTGTATAGCTTGAAGACTAAGAAAGTTATTATTAGCCGAGATGTGTTGTTTGATGAAGATGCAACATGGAATTGGGAGGAGGAAAAGGTACAAAGGAAGACTGTTTTTATTGATGTTTAGCAACAAAAAACAACAAGTGAAGTTGAAAATAATGGTCAAGAATCAGTCCCTTCATCTCCAAGTTTAATTCCACCATTATTTCCAACAAGTTTACGAAGTAGTTCTTCAAGTTCAAGCTCTTCTTCACCCACTTCAACTCCAAGGAAAATGAGGAGTTTTGACTGATATTTATGAGAGGTGCAATTTTTGTTAAACAAGATTGTGTTGAAGAAGCTATGAAAGAAAAATCTTGGAGGCATGTTATGAATGAAGAAATTGAAGTGATTGAGAAAAACAATACTTGGCAACTTGTGGACAGACCTACAGACAAAAAAATCATTGGAGTGAAGTGGATTTACAAGGTGAAATTCAACTTGGATGGTTCGATACAAAGGAACAAGGTAAGGTTGGTTGCCAAAGGCTACTCACAACAACCCGACATTGATTACAATGAAACTTTTGCCCCTGTTGCAAGACTTGATACCATTAGAGCTCTCATTTCATATGCAGCACATAAAGGATGGGTGTTGTATCAAGTTGATGTAAAATTAACATTCTTGAATGGAGATTTGTAAGAAGAAGTTTATGTCGAACAACCTCAAGGGTATGTTATTCAAGGTGATGAAGAGAAGGTGTACAAGCTAAACAAGGCTTTGTATCGACTGAAACAAGCACCGAGAGCATGGTATAGTCAAATTGATGGATACTCAACAAGAAGGGATTTTTAAGAAGTAAGAGTGAGCCTACCATGTATGTAAAGAAGCAAGGTATGATTGATTTCTTGATTGTTGCCATTTATGTTGATGATTTGGTTTTATATCAGAAACAATTTAAAGATGATTGAAGACTTCAAAAATGATATGCTGAAAAATTATAAAATTAGTGACTTTGGAATTTTATATCATTTTCTTGGCATTGAAATTTAACAAGAAGAGGATGAAGTTTTTATTGTTCAAAAGAAGTATGCTGAAAATATTCTCAAGAAGTTTGGAATGCAAGAATGCAAACCCGTAGCAACTCCACTTGTTGTTAATGAGAAGCTACTTAAAGATGGTGGCGCAAAGAAGATGGATGCAACTTTGTATCGAAGTATTGTTGAAAATTTACTTTATCTCACAACAAGGCCAGATATCATGTTTGCTACAAGTTTACTTTCAAGGTTTATGCGTTGTCCAAGTCAAATTTATCTTCGCGCAACGAAAAGAGTGTTGCGTTATTTTCAAGATACAACAAATTTTGGAGTTAAGTACAAAAGAAATGTGCAGCTGAAACTTGTTGGCTATCCAAGAAACAACAATTAATCAGTTGCCCAATCATCAACGGAAGCGGAATATGTTTCAGCAGCTCTTGCAACTTCTCAAGTTATTTGGTTGCGAATAATTCTTGAAGATATTGGTGAAAAGCTAGAAGAAGGTACTCAGGTTTTCTGTGACAGCAAATCAGCCATTGCTATGGCTAAAAATCCAGTTTTTCATAGCCGTACTTGTCATATTGCAATTAAGCATCCAACTCGAGTTTTGCACGTCGGATGATCAAGTGACTGACATTTTTACAAAGGCACTTCCAAAGGAAAAGTTCCAGCATTTTCGAGAAGCATTGGGAGTTGAAGAACATCACATTAAGGGGGAGAATTTTAATTAATAAGATGTTATTCTTCCAACTATTTCTTATATTTTCTATGTTAGCTTAATATTTGTCTTTTAAGCTTCTCAAGTTAGCAAATTAATTATCTTGTAATGGGTATTGAAAAAGATATATATAGCTTGGTGTAATCTGCTGGAATAGTTAAGAGAGAACTGAATACAAAAATTAGTTTAGAGTTGTGTGTCTATTTCTCTTCTACAATGATTTAGTTTCTGCAGAGAATTTTTCAGATTTAATTCCTAATCTTTTTTCCCAGTCCTCCTACACTAAACAAGGGTGAAATAACCAACAAAAGGAAAAGGAAAAAGTACAAACTGAGTCATAATGGAACTACAAACAAATATGGCAAGTATTAGTTTATTATTAATATTCCAAAACTAGCTATGTGAATTGAATAAACAAAGCACAGACCCTATCAGAATGCAACTACTATATGGAAAGTATTAGTTTATTTTATTAAGATCATACTTTCCTAATTTGGCTATGAAAATAAACAAAAACATACTCCATCCCGCATAAATAAATAATTCACACGCATTGAAACTCCTTTTCGTATTTAAACAATCAGCACAGTGATTACAAAGTGATAGCAAACCCTTAAAAACCCTAATCCCATTTGCATCATATACAAACACATCCGATTATCCATATATTATTCACTTTAAACATGAGACTCAGGCAACATCCAACTACTAGAACACACTTTGCAAGTTCAACCAGCGGGGGAGCTGAATCCCTTGTTTTTATTATCAAATCCCAAAACACACCTGTGCTTAAACATTTTCAAAAGTATGATACTCGGAATAAAGGAGCATCACTTATCTCCAAACAAGTACCCGAGAGATGAATCTCCACCTGGAACGGATTTAACCTTGGTTGATGGACGACCCTGAAAAAGATTGATTTAGGTCAACAGTTTTTTTAAAGATAAAGGTGTAATTACATGCTAATTGTATTTGTAACTCACAGTAATGAAGTTTCCTGAATTCTGGCCTTGAGATCTGTGATAATTGTTGGAGACATTTTCTTCCTTGGGAGGAGGAGGGGGGGGAGGTAGTGGTGGCTTCTCTGTATCGATTCCATATGGTGGTGCGTAAACCTTTGGCGTGGTGGGAGGTGCAGTACTTTGTTGGGGATCATCAGTGCCAAAAAGGTAGCCCAAGGAGCTCTGACCACCTCCATAGCTCCCACCTCTACTCATGGCTGCCCTTCAGAATCTCTTTATCAGCTAAGTTGAAGGATGGGGAAGAAAGGGAGATAGGTCAACTATATATATATAATAATGCGACCATGTAAATATGTATGAATCTCTGTGGATGATGATGACGGTAAGATGCCACGAGGACATTTTTTAAACGACAAGACCTTTTCAAGTTAGGGCCGAATTGGATCCATTCCCATAGATCTCGGATATTTGCAATCAGCTCTAAACACAGATAATTGCAGTGGTAAGATACGGTCATCCCTTTTCATTGTGAAAACGGTCCTTATGAGGAACATCGGTGACATTCTGATGTCCATGTGAGAATTGGTTATCTAGTGTGTTCATCAGCTTTAATGCATGGATGGATATTCAATACACATGAATCATTTCGGGTAATCCAAATGGAGAAACATAAGTGCTTTCTTCATGCTCATGTTTGTTGATTAACAATAATTTTCTTTATCATAGTAATCAGTTTTGAACTACTAACCCCCCCTCACTTGTCTTGCCAAAATTCAACCAGTTATGATACAATGACTTCGATTAGTCATAATTAGGGACATTTCTTGTTTGTTAGTTGAATCATAACCTTAAACTTGCTCTTCGACCAAACATATATAAGAACTTTCGTGGTACATTGTTTTCCCATGGCATCCATGTAATATTTCAACCATACAGCTTGATGAAAAGTCGGTTTTCATAAGGAAGTATATAGTGATCCTGTATATAAGTTTCTGATTTGTCTACTAAACCTAATTGATATGGTTGTTTTGGGCTTAAACCATTGGTTCCCTCTTCTTCAAAGGATTAGAACCACAGCATTTCTTTTACAAATTGAATTAAAGAATAATGTATGATATTTAACTAGAGGCTGTTTTTTCTATATTTTTTGGTAATTAGGTTATTTTTTCTTGACAAAGAACACGTTTTACACTTTGATATTTCTGCCAAAATCATACTTGCATTGAGGGAAAAAAAAAAAAGCAAAATGATAAATAATGTAGGACAAGTTACCTAAAATGATCTCATGAATGAAGTAATCATGTACAGATGCCTGATTCTTTATATTTGCATCAATGAACATACATAAATATGTATTCACATGTGTTTAAATGTGTTGCTACTAATGCAAAACTTGCATCCAAAATAATGTAACTGTTCTAGAGCTGTGGCTTTGCGAATTGCGACAGTACAAACATAAATAAGTTGGTTAACATTGGAATGTGGGCTTCCCGACAGTGCAAACAGAATAAGTTGGTTAACGTCGCAATCAGCTGATGCCTCTGATAAACAATTGCCTAGCAGAATTAATCAGTATTCATAATTAGTGGTGTCAGTTCAATAGCTGTTGAGGACCGATATGAGTACTGGTTAACAATATATATGTTATAATGGAATCATTTAGCTCACAGTCCATTGATTATTATCTGGTAACGTTGCCATGTTTTGCTGGAGGGCCCCAGGAATTGCAGATTCTCTAACCTCCTAATACAGTGCAGCCACTGAGATTTGCAAACAAAATGATTGCACAATGGGGTTTGCCGTAATCTATGATGTAACTATCATCAATCACAACATGCTTTTGTGGCTTATGTCTAACCACATCATTTTAAGAGCTAAAAGGGATGATTAAATGGGGTTAAATCAAGATTAGGAAAGACTTTAACATAAACAAAAAGGAGGTAAACAACATGTTGATTGGCCTGGTGTTGAAGTCAGACCCATCAATGACTTGTATTCCTCAGAAAAAAAGTAATCTGGAGGAACTAAACTAGTGCATCAGATGGGCTTAGTTCGGTTGGAAGGGAGCCTGTAGGCCAAAGGAATCCAATTAAGTAATCTTTACTTTAGTTTGTTTCCTTCTTAGATAAGACATTGTTATATAAAACGTTGTGGTTTACAGAGAGGATACATCCTAACATGAAATAACCGTTCTGTAAAGCTGATGGTGGTTTAGTGGCCATGTCCATGAGTTAATAGAACTGATCAGCCATCCAATGCCCACTGGTTTGAAAGTTCTGTAGTCCTATGTGATGGAACAAACTATGATGTCCGTGGCCCTGAGAAGACATTTATATGAGGACACTTTGTGACCTTCAGGACACTATGATCACGAACTGCATGTAGAGGCTGTCCTAAACAGTTGTTGATAAGGCTATGGTACAGGAAAAAATTTCGAGTTCCATGCTGAAAATTATCTCGTACATCTTGCTTTGATTCATTCATAGTTGTTGATAATGAAAATAATTACATAAAGTGAAATAATAAAATATAAAAATCTTACACAGGTGGTGTTTTTATTGGATGAAAAGAGGAGTACTATAGCTGGCCATATGTTGTACCTTGTGACAGAAAGAACATTTGAGCTTAGCTTTGTTTATGCTCCAGATATGCTTTAGCTGTGGTGGCCAATGTTTATAATAGTGCAACAGCTTTTCACTCGTTTTTTAGCACTTTAACCCATCAAAGATGCCAAATTAAGCTACTGTTGTTTCTTTCATTTATTACTATCTATTAACTGCAATTATCAATGCAAGAGAAAACCCTTAAAACATTCACGACATATCTGTAGGGTAGTAAGTGTAACCAGAATCCCCTTGCTTATATAAGAAAACATAGCACTTCACTTGCGTCAAAGTTTTTTCACTTAAGGACTTTATGCATCACCTTAGAATTACAGTGAATCTAGGAATATGGGAGAGATGTATGACATCATATGGAGCCTAATGCCCATCAAGTGACAGACAGGATCTTAAAGTCCATTCTGGCAAGTGGGGTGTGACGTCGAAGGAGTTGATCAATAAAAAAAAAATGATCCAAATACTACTACATCAGTAGGAACTGAACTTCATTCTTTCGCCCGGCATTATCATCTTAGTCCTTGACTTGTAAACTGTCTTAACCATTATGTTGTGTCGTCCATTTATCTAAGCAAAGCTTCGAAAATGATCTAAAACTCCTGTCAGTTTTTTTTTTTTTTCCAGAAAGTAAAAGTATTCATCCATTCATAGTTGTTAATATATCATATGTAAAACAAAGGGATCCCGCTTACCAAAAAAAAAAGCAAAACTTGTACGCATTAAAAATAAATCTGTAAACTCAGACTAATTTTCTCTACGTTCCAATTAAAGATAGATCATTTATATCGGAATTAGGATATTCACGAAAAATAAATCTATCATAGTTTGACCTCAAGTAATTATTAATATTCGAATTTAAGACGTTTAAATTTATAATTCAACACTATTATCAATTAAACTATCCTTTAAATTGTGGTCTCATTCTATTTTGGTTCTTAGCTTTAGGATCAACACGAGCAAGGATTTTTTTGCTTGCTCTGTGTGGGCGGGTTTTCTGAATAAGGCTTAGTACTGGGCCGTAAATTTTCAGGGATACATTATGTGGCTGTAGTTGGGCTTGAAAGAGATAGTCTTTGGGACTAGGGATACATTTTGTGCGCTGTAGTTGGGCTTGATAGATAAAACCAAACCAAAAGCCCACCACTAGGCGTGAAGGTTCCTGTCGCTCTACATCAACTGAACCAACACTTCCTTGCCTCTCTCTCTCTCGTTCAACCCAGTGAACGATCACAGGTACGGAGAACCTCTGCGTTCATAAGCTCCAATTTATCTTGCATTATCTTGGCTCTCTCTCTCTCTCTCTCTCTCTCTCTCTCTCTCTCTCTCTCTCTCTGTGTTCGCACACAGTCCCTCTCTCTCTCTCTTGGAAACCGGTAATTTGAATTTTGGCTTTTGATCCCTACCTGATTTGTAGTTTTGGCTTTTGTCGTAAGTTTTAGGGTGAAAATTGAAAAATTGTTTGAAGATCTATTTAACATAAATTTCTCTAAAGACAATCAGTTTCCTTAATGTTGTTTTATGTCGCATTTTAATTAGAATCGCTATGTAAATGTTTCTATGCTTTTGCAAGTTGTTATGATGATTAACTGATTATCCTCAATGAATATCAGCAACTTTTGTTTACAGCTTCACCCAATAAGTCAATTATCCATATGAACTTGCTATAGAAAAAAACATTGATCGAAACTACACTGCCCCTTCGGCTAGGCCAATTTATCTCTCGTCAATATCCTAGTTTCTATATGGATTAGTTAAGTTGTACGTAAGTTGTTCAGACACCTCCGTTAAACTAAAAAGAAAAAAGAAACTACACTCAAGAATGGAGATGAACACTATTTGTGGCGGTTGATCAATCATTTGTCCTTAAACCATTGCGATTACTCCTATTTGGAAGTGCTGCTTAAATTTTCAATTGTGGTTACGTTTCATTCCAGTTGGTTGAGATGATAATGTTGCTTCATGTTTGTGCTGGTTATTTTCTTTCTATTTAAGTAAAATTTTGCAGGAATTGCAAGGACAATAAACAGTGGTAAGTCTTGTTTTTTGGAGAATCAAACAGGTGTTATATGCAGCCTAGATATCTCATTTTTAGTCCAGAATTTTTAAGAAAAATCAGGATTATGAAGAGCTGTCTGTGTGTGCTTCCCCTAAATGATGACTCTAACTTCCTTTGTGGGATTGGTAGTTTGTTGCAGAAAGTTACTCTGTCAGGTGTAGAAACGAAGTGCAATCCATATCATATGCGTGGAACTTCTTTTTTATTGGCTGCTGCAAAATACAAATTTAAACCCATCTTCTCCGTGGAAGGAGCATGGGGTAATGTCACAATTCTTTGATATCTTATTCTTTGTCATTTTGGAAACTGTTTTAATCACTAGAAACTCGTTTGCAAAACTAGGAACAATGGCCACCANAGGAGCATGGGGTAATGTCACAATTCTTTGATATCTTATTCTTTGTCATTTTGGAAACTGTTTTAATCACTAGAAACTCGTTTGCAAAACTAGGAACAATGGCCACCACAATGTCCAAGAAACAAGCAAATACAAATGCTGGGGAAGAGGGACAGATAGCTAAAGACAAGGCTGATCCAATTGTTGCTTTCAGCAGACCCCCACCAGTCCCACCTGTACTTGGACCATTGGTTGCTCTCACATTGTTGGAAACATGGTCGAGTCGGGATAGCAGTGATGACTGACTGGTGATCTGAAGCCATTCTTTCGTGGCAGTGACTTGTAAGTTGTGACATGTAAAAGAAACTCTGTTAATGTCCTATAATTGCACAGAAGTTTTGAAATGTATAGACGATGTATTTGGTGTGTGAAGCTGGGTGAGTTGCGACNGTTGTGACATGTAAAAGAAACTCTGTTAATGTCCTATAATTGCACAGAAGTTTTGAAATGTATAGACGATGTATTTGGTGTGTGAAGCTGGGTGAGTTGCGACTTACAAAAGGAACTTTGTTAGTTTTCTCAATCCTCTACTTGTTGAAAAGCTTTGAAATGTACAGCAATATTCTGAGGGTGCAGCTGAGCAAGCAAGCCATGAAACTCCAAAATTTTACGTAGCATGCTAGAAATGGACTTATACATGGCACCAAAAATATGTTGTAAAACTGTAGTAGCAATTGTAGTATGGCATAGGGACTCCTCAGGAACCCTGCAGCAGCCAGATTGATATTTCATATCATATCAGTATGACTTTTCTATGACTCTCTGAGATTCATATGCTTCGGGCAGTCAACTTACTCTCAGTGGCCTCTGGGAAGGCGTCAAAAACTGAAGTTACGATCTTCAGCAGATTCTGAATGTGGCATAACAAGAACAATTTTATGAATAGATGAAAATGGTAGAAATGAAGTATAATCATTATGCCCACATGTCAGGAAGAGTGTTAGGGAATTACCAGTGCTAAGACTCCCAACTTGAATGGTGATTCAATCACTACTTGAGCTTTCCTGCATATAGTTATCTGTAAGTCATGACATTTATTTATCTAGATGTAATCTAAAGTTCAATAAATTTTTTTGAGTACTTAATGAGTAGTCCGTCTCCTTCTTTTGATAATTCAAAAATGCTGCAGCCTCTGGTGAATGGGACCTGCTTCTTCTTCCACTCTGCGATTACAGGTAGATCCTCCATCAGTACTTATGGATTACTTCATTTATATATTTTATATTGGTGAGAAAATCGTCTTGATGACAAATGTAGAGTCTTTAATTTATCCAACACTACGGCAGATGGAAGTACCCAAGTGCCAATTTACTGCAGCTGCATGTTCANTTTATGGATTACTTCATTTATATATTTTATATTGGTGAGAAAATCGTCTTGATGACAAATATAGAGTCTTTAATTTATCCAACACTACGGCAGATGGAAGTACCCAAGTGCCAATTTACTGCAGCTGCATGTTCATCTCTTTCGCAAACACATCCCAAGTTGAATTGTATATTCTGACCCATGCATGTAATTAGCTGCTCAAAAAAATGCAAGACCTCCTGCCGGGATTGGGAAAATATTAAAAGAACAGAGAGAAAACAAACTTGAGTGGAAAAATATGTANTAAGTTGAATTGTATATTCTGACCCATGCATGTAATTAGCTGCTCAAAAAAATGCAAGACCTCCTGCCGCGATTGGGAAAATATTAAAAGAACAGAGAGAAAACAAACTTGAGTGGAAAAATATGTAGAAAAGAGATGGTTTGGATCTTAAAGAGATTAAGAGGAGACCTTTTTTCCTTGGAAAGGGCAAGGAAAAGAGAGATCCTCGAAGAAGCAATCGTGGGCAATGAATTTTCCTAGTTTCTTCGAGTTTTTCTCGTTGATGCAGATGTAGAAGTGCTTAATTGTTTCTGATGGGGAGAGTGGACTTAGCTTGTCATTTGAATTGCTCATTGATGAGATGACATGGCTTAATTGACGCTGCCTGTATTGTTTATTCATGGCAGTCCTTTTCACATCTGGCTGCCATTGCCGCTTCTTCATTTCTCCATGCTGAAATTGACATTTTTTATTTGAAGCTATGGCACCAANCGTCATTTGAATTGCTCATTGATGAGATGACATGGCCTAATTGACACTGCCTGTATTGTTTATTCATGGCAGTCCTTTTCACATCTGGCTGCCATTGCAGCTTCTTCATTTCTCCATGCTGAAATTGACATTTTTTATTTGAAGCTATGGCACCAAGGGCAGGCCTTGCTGCCACCATGGAGCGTATGCTTTGCCCTGAGGCTTGGACGGAGAACGTCATGGCTTCAGCCATTGGCTCCTTGCAGGATGTATGTGGAGTCGGCTAAATATGTTACGCCTACATTATTGAAGTTAAGGGTCATGGAATACAGGAGAGGGAAAGGGGCATGTTTCTTTGCCTTGGAATGTAAACAAGGAATGACTTTTTGGTTCATAGTTTCTATATGCTTGGAGTTTGATGTTTCGTGCCTTGGCCTTTGATCAAAGAACCTGAAACCCTGGCAGGTACCTTTCCTACTATGAGACATTCGAACACCTCCAAGGCACGTGGACGNTACTTTTTGGTTCATAGTTTCTATATGCTTGGAGTTTGATGTTTCGTGCCTTGGCCTTTGATCAAAGAACCTGAAAACCTGGCAGGTACCTTTCCTACTATGAGACATTCGAACACCTCCAAGGCACGTGGACGAATGCTGCGGAGAAAGGATAGTGTAGTTAAATAGGTCTTGTAATTCAATATGAATCTAATGCACTAGATATTTATTACTGCAGCAGGGTTCGGATGCATTTTTAAACTTGTATCCACAGATACTGTTCCATAACTCGAACTTGTCATTAGTCAATATAGGGGAACGTACCTGCCACAAAATATTGGCATGTGGTGTACTTTGGTTTCAAGTGAAGAAAGGGGTTGATGAATATTGAATTGAGAAATCATCGACTTAATGATTTTTGTTCAATTGAAAAATATTGAATTTATTCAATAGTCAGTATAAAAGGAAGGAGATGCTGACCACACCGAGCAGGTTATTATGCTACAAAAATATAGATCGAGTGAGGG